AGAACCTCGGTCTCACTCTGAACTGGTAGCCACGTACCTTGATAGCATAATGAGAGCCGGAGAATGTCTAAAACTATCATCGCTGTCAGAGAGTCAGGGCCATCGTTTTAGACGTTTGGGTACCGCGCTTACCCGCAGTTATTCAAAATTCATTTTTTCAATTAACTACATTAAATATAGAATCACACATAAATAATAGTTCGAAAATTTTCTTAGCAGATATTGACAACTTCTTGCTTGTTACTGTCTGTTTGGTTCAAGTCGACTTAACTTAATGATTCGCATGCTAAACTGCATAAATCATAGTCCACCTCGACTCGTTTCCTTTTGAGTGATTCACTGAATAATAAATACTACTGGTACTACTAATGGCTAGAAGTACTAATAGATACTAACTCTCGCTGTAGTCAAATGTCATACGCTGACACTTTGATGAATCACGGCATGAATATACAAATCTGAACATCAGGTCAGATTTTCAGCCAAATTTTACATTTTTGGCCATCCAAATAGAAGGATGTTATTTTCATTTTTCAGTATTGAAGATCTGCATTATACATTTGGATTTTCCTTTTGATCACAAGTCATCATTGCTTGTTCACACAGCAGTTTGACTTCGCTTGTCATCAGTTTGACCTTCTTCTCAATCCGTTGCAGCGTTCTTAAGATTCATGATCATTTCGCGTTTTATACCAGAAAGCGTTTGCGGCATCGAGATATATACATACTTTGCACTGTTATGGTTATGGATGAAGACGATCGTGTGATCTGAGGTTCTGTAATACGATCTCGTAGCTGAAAGCGCTGTCTCCTTCGCTAAACGCAAGCACATTGCAGTAAACTAAATACTTCTGACAGAGATCTAACAGTCTGACACTCTTTTCCGCTACTAAAACATACATCATTCCAAAAACAAGAACTAAGTGTATCGAAACAACGCTAAATCATTTAGTTTGTACCCTCATGGACTATATATATAAAGCTGCAGAGAATCGAATGATCCCACATTATGTCATCCATGAGGTGAGATATTGATAGAACGTGATCGCTCCTCATGTAACCATATCGACTATCCTCAGCAAACAGCGTAACAACGGCTGTCTGAAACCATTATAGGGCCTTCGTGCCTACCTACCTACCAACGTCGCTGCTTCCAGTCCGTACAACAAAAAACATCTGAGAGCACTGCTTTGATGGAGAATGCTACTCCATTTCTAATCAGAATTTCTGCAAGATTGATGAAGATGAAAGCAGTCAGCACGCAATCCCCCTGTTTAGCAGCTAAACACAGTCTCCATTGTTTGAAACAGCGGTGCCGGAACACTCTGCCGGGAAATTGTGATGCTTCCTCGGTAGAGCTGCTTCACTCACAGGGGCTCCGCACTGCCGTCGTCGTTGAGCAATCGATCCGAGATCATCCAAAATTGAACTTGCAAGGAAAAGAAAGCCGGATGCCCGATTCAGTATAAATTTAGAAGCCTCCAGATAGCGAACGAAGATTTATAACTGAAAAGCTAAAATGCCTGATTAATTATTTCGTATTTACCTACTACGGCAACCATGCTAGACTTGATAGCAATGCTGCATTGTTAAACTCACACGATATTGCTTAATATGGAGCCTGATAAGTAGATCAGATGGTTGGAAACGTTTCGAGATAATTGCCAAACATAACGTAACTAATAGTCTGAACAACGTGACAATTTTGGGTGCCGACAAGATCATATTCACAGAAACGCGATCGTGAACCTACAAGACGTGACCTTGAGTCAAAATAGATGCCAAGGGTCATATGAAAAAATCTCGGCAATTCGATCAATCTCATTTGACTTCTCGGAGGTCGCAGAGACTTGTGTCCACCGCTTCCTGTTTCGTGTGTGCCAGA